CATTGATCATGCTATTGTTAAATATTTATGTAAAAAGATAGATTCAAATCATCAATTAATAAGATGGGTGATATTGATGCAAGAGTTTGACTTGAAGATAAAGGATATAAATAGATCCACTAACAAAGTGGCTTATCACTTGTCTCAATTACCTCATTTAGGAACATCTTTGATAACCTCTAACCCTACTTTTGAGTGTGATTCATTTCCTGATGAGATCTTAGGTGCTATATCTCCTTTTATTCAATGGTATGCACATATTGCCAATTTTATTGATTATGGTTCTTTTGCCTCTAACTTGTCTCATTTTTAGGGAGAAAATCATTAAATGTGAGGCTAGGTATTTTGTAACATCCTACATTTAATGCATTAGAGTAAGGCACAAATGTGCCTAAATATGGTATTCTATGATATAAAGTAAGTTGAAAGTGATGTAGGCCTTATAAGAAGCCTCCGATACATATAAAGATGAGTAAAGTTAAAATGCACACTTTACAAGGAAGAAATTAATGAGAAATAAGAAAAAAGAATTTAATGCAAGTTTTACTATGCAAGAGATAAGTATCTATACACATAAGTAAGAAGAAACATATATTATTTTAATGCACATAAGTTAAGTACAGATTTTATAAGGTGGCCAAATATTTTGATAGGGACTTGCACTAGTATAGTGTTTTAGCATGCATAACAAGGCAAGGTCCAACCTGAGTGAAATGTCTAAGAAAAATTATCCAGATTAAAATTTATGAATGCATATACAAAAGCATGCATTTATTCAGCACGATTCCTAATAAATCCAATAAAAGATGACAGTCAACTCCATAGTTGAAAAGTGTGCCAAGAAGTTTGTGGGCCCCACACCATATCACTTGTCATTGAAGGTTTGTTTGGTTAAGATTTTTTGGAGGGAAGAAGAGGGAATGGCCGCCCTTCCCTCATTTTATTAAGAAATTTTGGAGGGGAGGGGAGCCAAAATTTCCCCTCCCTTTATTTTGCCTCCCTCCAAATTAGAGACTTTTTTGAAGGGGAGCTAATTTTATTGACTAATTTATCCTTATAATTTTTGTTATATTCCAATCTTGCCCCCAAAAGAAAATAAAATATGATGGGTGATTAGCTCTGCATTTCTCTCATTCTTGCTCGTGCATCTTATCGTTGGGGCTCTCACCATGCACCTTTCCTGGATTCTTTGAAGCTCTTGCCATGCGTCATCTCATCGACTATTGTGAGTTCTTCTCTGCTCCTCTTGCCCTCTTCTGATCTGATTTGTGCTTTAATATGGATATGTATTTCTTTTTTTATTTGATTTGATTTGTTATTTGATTCATTGCTTTTCAAGTACCTTCCATTTTGGCCTCTCTATAATCTCTCTGCTACTCAATTATAAACGTATTCTTTCCCTTTAAGCCCTATTATGAAGTTCATGGTCATTGTCCTCTGTACCTAACATACATTTTCTTGGTTTCTTGCTTTCTAATTTAAGCTAAACTATGGACTCCAACTTTTGCTTTTTCTCTTTGATTTTTCTCCTATTTGACTTTTCTTGTTGTGCACCTTACATGTGACTTTGTGCTATTTGATATATTTTATGCTTTTTCTCCTTTGATTTTCTCCTATTTGATTATTATTAAGCCTATCATTGATACAACCTATTTGATTTTTTGTGACTTCCACACTTTGTTCATTGATATTGGCTAAGTGTGTAGTATATAAAAAATTTATTGATTATTGTTTTTTTGGTTCTTTTTTGTGATAATTATGGGTTGTTTATTTGATTTGCATTATGCTTTTTGATTACTTTGTTAGATGGGGAAGGAATCTAAATATCTTTTGTGATATTCCTCAACTTAATAAGTCAATGAACGCCAAAATCAAGGAAATCAAAGTGTAGACCTTGGAAGATTACCAATTAATAAAATTTGGTACCAAGTTTCTAAGTTACAAAGATAGGGATCCCAAGTTTTGACAATTCAAAAATCCTCCAAGGCATATTAATAGTATAATTTATCAGAGCTCAAAACTTATGTGGAAGCATTGGATGTAAAATAAATTAGTGCATTTGCAAAATGAGAAAGCATCAATCTCAACAACACATCATGATGTGCTATAGCTCATTGTAGATGCACCGTGGCTCATTTGCCTCTGTGCCATGTGTCACAATGCATTACACAAATTTGGCAGCATTTTGCTATCAAATAATAGCACCCAGGACAAACTTTTGACACATCCTATTTCTCCATCCAGTGCACAAAGGCATAGCCTTATCCCATTATTTGTCGAGGATTGTCCCGTAGTTTGTCACAGAACTTGAACTTAGTTATCTCCACCTATTTATTCAGGATATTAGCCTAGGATATACGACACATCAAAGATTCAAGAGTGAGGGAAAACATGGTTCAAGAGTAAAGATTGTGATCTTTGGTCATGTCACATCTCAAATTAGTGAGCTTGGATAATCTAATCACAAAAACAAAATCCTAATTGATATTATAGCTCACGGTTTCGATCGGAAGATATAAGGAGGGTATAAGGTAAGATTGATCATGCATATATGTTTATATGACATGTTGCATGGTTATTAAATTTGTGGCAAGTTATGATAATGAATTGGGTCACTACCACGTGTCTGTGTGGCTTGTGGCAATATATCTTAGTGATTTGAGATAAGAAGTATGGAATTTAGTTAAAATATGAAATGACAACTTATATGGCATGTAAAAGTATATTTCGGATAATTAATTCCATTTATGTGTGTTTATTCAATTTATATACAACTATATAAAGTAGGTGTACCCTTAGTTAAAGAGAAAAAAAATGGAGTGAAAGAAGAATAGGAGAGTCCACAAATGAAGAGATTTTGAGAAATATACATACACATATATGTATTCCACCATTGTTCTTTTCTCTTTCTACCATCTTCAACTCGTAGCTTCTAAGTTTTTATTTTAGAAAAATTTCAGTGAGGGACCCTTGACCAAAGATAATAAAAAAATGGATCCCTGAATTTTTGAAAATTCACTGAAGGACTCGTACGAAATTTTCGTCAAATTTGTGATGAAAATGATAAAATTGCCCTCATTTAAATGAACAAACATAAATGACTTGTCTATTCCCATATTGTATGTTGTTTGTTTACTTACAGAATGTTATTCATTTTTTTATTTCACTTGTTTATAGCCCTAGTTTTATTTGCTTTCATTCTAAGTGTTGGTTTCATAATAAGACGACTTATTCGTTCCCATACTATATGTTGTTTATTTACTTATGAAATATTATTCATTTCCTTACTTTACTTGTTTATGGCCTTAGAATGAAATCAAGTGAAATTAGGATGATAAACAAGTAAAGAGACAAAAAATATTTCATAAGTAAATGAACAACATATAGTATAGGAACGAACAAGTCGTTTATATTGTTCATTTAAATGAGAGCAATTTTGTTATTTCTATTACAAATTCAAATGAAATTACGTACCGGTCCTTATGTGAAATTTCATAAATTTAAGAGTCCTCTTTTTCATTATCTTTGGTCAAGAGTCTCTCACTAAAATTTTTTCTCTAATTTTTCTTGCTCCCTTCAATGTCCTCTTGATAGCTGTGTAGGGAATACCCTTTTCTTTTTTTGGGCTACCATGCCATGTATGTGACTCATATGAGGGTGGCAAATGAATTCAATTTCAAAGGCATTATATTCATGACATTTTATTTAAAACTATTTTAACTAAACGTTAATTTTTATGATAGCATTTGATTTTAAAAGATAAAAACAATTTTTGACAGTTAATATGAGGATATTTCTTTTCCCTTTGTTTTCGATTTCAATCTAAATAGAAAGAGTGATAACATTATCTCTTTCTTTTCTTCAATTTATCCTTTTTTCTATTTTCTTTTGCCTTAATATTTCTCTCCATCCAAATAGACCATAAATTATTTATTAAAGTGTAGGAACTAATATTTTAAATAATTAAAATTAAAAAGACTAAGTTGCACATAATCAAAATATAGGGATTGAATTATTGCTTAAGTCAAACTATAAAGATTCAGTTGCAATGTGTTTTAATGATTGAGTTACTATAAAGTTAAAACTTGAGACCAATTGATTAAGTTGTTTTAAAAAATTAACTTCAATAATAAAAAAATAAAATTTAATTTTATATTATATAAAAATCAATTTTATTTGAGAAGTACAAAAAACTAAAAATCAATTTCAATTATTCTAATGGTAAGGCTACCTTTTAAAAGAGATTCTAGGTTTGTAGATGCGTGTATTTCTATTTTTTATGATGAAGGGTTATGGTAGTAGTAAAATTTTGAAAAAAAAAAATAGGAATTTTAGTATATAAGCCAAACAACATAAAAAATTAGCAAAAAAAAAAAAAAAAATTCTTATAGATGGTTCTCCTCTGTAGCTTCTCCCATCTAGAGAAGAGATCTAAATCATCCAAATTAATCTAAATGGTTCAGATTTAATGTTTTATTTTTAATTTTTATTTAAATAAAATATTTATAAAAGTTATAATTTTTTTTAGTAAATTTGATTATCAATCTAAACAGTTTACATTTATATTCACAAAACAAAAAATTATAAAAAAATTTAATAAATTTATTTATTATCAATATAGATAATATAAATTTAATCTAAACAATTTGATTTAATATTAAATTTTTTATAATTTTATAAATTGATCATTTATATGTATTATAGATAATGCTGATTCAAGATAATACAAATTTAATTTAAATAGTAAATTTTTTTATAATTTTTATAAATTGATCATTCATATGTATTATGAATAGTGAGATTTAATTATTAATTTTTTTTATAAATTTTTATTTTCCTAACATAAATGTAAACTAGCCAGATTTGTAATCAAATTTATTAAAATTTGTTATAACTTTTATAAATAATTTATTTTAATAAATAAAAATCAAAATAAAAATAAAAATATTAAATCTGGACACCATATTAATTTGGACGGCTCAGATCTCCTTCCTAGGCGGAAGGAGCTGCCGGGGAGCGAAGGCAGGCGGGAGCGAAGGCGACTCCGTTCATTTCCTGGTGTGCGGACTTGAGTGATTCTGGTGAAGGTAAGAGAATCATCACTCACTTCCTTGAAACTTTCTACAGGATTGGTATTCGAACAGGTTTTGTGCGAACTGTACTATTCAATAAATTCGCCGGACTGATCGAGCACGGGAATCAGAGGCATGGTTTCGCTTCGTTCCCCAGTTTCTCCTCCTCCCTTTGTCTCTTCTTCTTGTTTCCTCAGCAGCTTCTTCTCTTTCTGTCGTGCCTCCAAACCCAGAAACAACTCGATAATCAAGCAGAAACGCCCTTCTGTCTTCAAAGCCTCGTGGCAAGAGGTTCATTCTCTTCCTTCTCTTGCTTCTGACACTTTTCTCCTCCTTTCATTTGACACTTTTTTCCCTTTCATTTAATATTCCTTATTGAAGCTTGCCGGAGTGTTACTGTTCTCGGCGATTCCTTTCAGTGCTGTAAAAGTTTTAGCTAATAGTCCACTAGGGAGCTCGCTTCAGAGGAAAATGCTGAAGAGAAAGAAAATTGCTCTTGATAACTCGTCCGTATACATGGCCTTAGCTCAGAAAGCCAGAAAAGAGAGGTAATTCCCTGCAATCCAATTATACTTCAACTATTCTGGGGAGCAATCTGAGGTGTTTACTTTTGCAATTAGAGTTTCCCAAAGCACGCTTTGACGTTAAGAATGCCATTTTCTGAAAATTTATGCAGACGAAAAAATCAGTCAATTGTTTGTAACCATAAAATATCTGGGAATTGATTTTATTCCATTGCATTCAATAGTACTACATTATTAGAGGATGTATACACTTTTGCGTGATAGAATATTAACTATGATTATGGCAGTTTATGAGAGGTGGATACAGTGATTTTCTGGAACCTAAGCTAGCGGAAAATACATTAAATATTTATTAAATATTATGACTTGGCATCTTTTGCTGAATGTATGTGCTGGATGTCTCAATATTTTGTAGTGATCCATATTTATTGCGATTTGTGAAACTTGCTATCCAATTCAAGAACTGAAGAAATTGAGAGTTTGGTTTAGTATTACTGTTTCTGACGCCCTGACATCATGATTTCGATGTCGTGGAGTGTGGAATGCTCGAAACACGTTATGTTGCTTGAATAGATGCAGATGCTGACAGTTATCTTCACAACATATTTAGGGGTCCTCTTCCCAGGAAATTCGTTTCAGTTCTTAGTTAGATGGTTTGACAAATATAAAAAATTTAGAGCCAAAATCACATCAGACAAACGATTTATATTATAATTAATTTACCTTATCATTAATTTTTAACTTCATGTTGTTTTCTTTGTACAAACTATGGTTTAGATTTTAGCACATATTTTCAAGTCATACAGATGATATTTCTTCCAATAGATTTTGGCGGAGATAAAGTGAGTTGGATCATTTATGCAATTAGTAAATGTTGGGGGATAATGCTATAGCCTAGTGGTGGGTGTTATTTCTTTGATTTGCCAGTTTTTGCGCTGGATGGATGAGAGTCTGGGATTATTGGAAATCTGACCTGTAGATTAATGTGGGGCATTGATAGGAGTCCACTATTGGTTTATAAAAAACGTAAGAGGAATTTCAGTCAGAATACAGCAATGGAATTATGTGCTGTCAGAATTTTAACATTGCAGTTTAGGTTTCTTATCTTAAGAAATGCTGAGTTGTCAAGTTATTAGGATATTAGTCTGTATGTGCTGTCAAGTTATAGTTATAACTGTAACTTTATGGTTTTACATAATTGTAAGACATTTTATGAATGTGATATGAATGAAATTTGACTTATTACTTGGAGATTCTCCTTCTTGGCTTTATCTAGTTTGTATGAGATCTTTGTCCAGATTTAGATAAAGATTAATCTTCCTGCCCTATTATTAAGTCTTAACATTTTGGTATCCGAGCCTGGTTATCCCTAGGATGGTGAGTACTAGAAATAGTTCTAACAATTCAACTGCTCCGCCTGTAACTTCTAATTTCTTAGAATCTATAGTCCAGCGATTGAATCAATTTTCATCTCATTTGAACATGTGGATGAGATTTCTGTGGTACTAGCAGCATTGAAATTGCAGCAGCGACATATCTTAGATGGTATTGGGCAATCTTCTCGAAACAAAAGTAAGCAACTAGAGAATTCAAATGCTACCCTGGATGAAGAGGACGACAGAAACATGCCTTGGTGGCTTTGAAACCCCTCAACGAAACCACATACCAAAGTTGACTTTTCAAAGTTGGATGGAGGTGATCCCAGAGGATGGATGCTCAAGGTTGAAAAGTATTTCAGATAATACCAAACTCCTTAGGATATGAAGGTTGATGTAGCGGCCATGTACTGAGAAACCGATGGATTGGATCTTTTTGCATGGGCAAATTCAGAACATCCAATAATTTATTGGGAACATCTTGTGTGCACGCTTCAAGAGAATTTCAGCCCTGCAGAATTTCAAAACCCTGGCAAACATTTGTGTGGGATCAAGCAATAGGGTATAGTATAAGAGTATTGATTGGAGTTTGCAAAGAGGTCTACCAGGGTGAAAAATTGGCTAGAGCATTGTTTGTTAGGGGTTTTCCTTAACACGCTTAAAGAAGAATGACGAGCTGATGTATCGATTGAAAAGCCTAGATCTGTCTACAAGGCTTATGAGTTTAGCCCTAGAATGAGTCCAAACTACAATGCTCTATGGTACCTAGAACATATGGACCTCCACAAACCAACCAGATGCACATGACAACAAATTGGCCTTCAAAGAAAATCACACACAAGTCTAGTGACCATGATTATGAACGCTTCCACTAGCACGCAATGTGTGAATTCTAGTTGGGATGTAGAGAAGTAGTTAAGGTGTGACAAAGGACTTTGCTTTCGTTGTGGAGAGAATTTCATCCTAGACCATCACTGCAAGAATGCTAATTTGACTCTCATGGAAATCTTTGAAGAACCAAGACAAAAATAAAGCACTTTGGCACTATGAATTTAGAAGTAATCATGAAGTTCATGCAGAGATATCATTTCATGCTTTTTTGGTGCATCTTGCAAGTGCTACCATGAAGATGGAAGGCATCTTGAATCGTCGAAAAGTTCTTATTTTGATTGATAGTAGCTCTACCCACAACTTCATCTTTTCTACTCTAGTGTAGAATTTACAAATCCGAACAAATGTGTTCCTTCTTTTGGAGTTTAGATTGGCAACATACATATAATTTATTACAATAATTTATGTTTTCAAGCTGGGTTGTTTAATTGAAGAAAAGCCGAAGGAGTTATTTACAATCGTAAGATGCTTAATAAACTTAAAGGAAAGTTTTATCGAACTGTTATAAGACCAACTATGTTATATGGTTGTGAATGTTGGAATTTAATGGGACAGCAAAAGCATAAAATTGGAGTAGTTGAGATAAGAATGTTGAGATGGATGTGCGGATATACATGTAAATATAAAATTTGAAATGAATACATACAAGAAAAAGTAGGCGTGACACCTATTGAGAGGAAAATTGTAGAAAATCTTTTGAAATGGTTTGGACATGTATAAAGAAGGTTGCGAAAGGTACTAGTAAGGAGAGTGGAATGGATAAACTTTAGAGCTTTATTAAGAGGGGTGGAGGAAAGTCAAAGAGAACATTTTTAGAAGTTGTTGATCGAGACCTCTTAGTTGACTACATTTCTAAAAGTTTAGTAAATGATAGAGTACAATGGCATCGTACAATTCATGTGCCTGACCCCACCTAGTGGATAAGGCTTTTTCTTGTTGATTTATGTCCTTAAGTCATGATTTGAGTTCAATCATTGGAAATCATTGAATATTCCCCTTCTCTATGGCAGGTGTTGATTTAGTGTTGGGTATCAAGTGGTTATCATCTCTAAACTTGGTTTAAGCAAATTGGCAATGCATGTTTATGATGTTCCAAGTCTATGGAAAAAGGTACAAACTTTAAGGAGTCCATACTGGCAACCAAGCAGAAGCAAGTCTACATTTGATGTCTCAACAATTCATTATAAACGAGGACACTTTTCAATGCTCATTGCATAGCTTACTTGATGAGTATGTTTCTGTTTTTGGTAATCCAACTGCTCTTCCTCCTCTTTGAAATAAATACCATTTCATCAATTTACAACCTTAGATGACACCACTAAATATTAGACCATACCAATGCCTGCATTACCAAAAAGATGAAACAGAGCGCCAAGTTGTAAATTTATTAGCCAAAGGTTTTATACAACATACTGAAAGTCCATTTGCAAGTTTTGTATTATTGATAAAGAAGAAATATGATTCAAGGCAATTCTACATTAACTACTTGGAATTAAATGAGACAACTATTCCTGTTGCATTTCCAATATTGATGAACTCATTGATGAGTGACATGGGGCAATAGCCTTCTCAGAGATTGATTTGTGTTCAGGACACCACCAAATCAAAATTAAACTTGAAGATATACACTAAATTGCTTTTTGAATTCACTTAGGTCATTATGAATTTACATCATGTTGTTTGGTTTCACTAATACCCTTGCGACCTTCCAATATGCTATGAAACGATCTTTTTCAGCCTTATATGAGGCATTTCATCCTTGTTTTCTTTGATGACATGCCGGCTTATAGTCCTACATTGGCTGACCATCTAGTGCATTGGCAAATAGTTCTTCCAAGCCTACAACAGGATGCTTATTTTGCTAATGAGAATAAATGTTCTTTTGGTTTACCCTAAATTGATTTCTTGGGACATGTTATCTCTTTCGGGGAGGTTGCCATGGATCTTGCTAAGATACAAGATGTGATGGAATGGCCTAAGCTGACTAATGTTATTGAATTATGGAGGTTTCTTGGTCTTACAGGTTATTACAGATGACCTGTGGATCATTACGGCCAACTTGCTCATCCAATAAATGATCTCACCAAATAGGAGGCTTTTTGGTGGTCTTCTTTGGCAGAACAATCTTTTCAAAAACTCAAACATTCATTAATGCACCTGCTTTCTATTTGCTAGACTTTGACAAGCCTTTCATTATGGAATGTGATGCTTTATCATTGGGGATTGGTGCAATTCTTATCTAGGACACATCCCATTGCCTGCTTCAGTAAACTATTCAAATTTTCTAATCGTATCAAATCTGCTTATGATAGAGAATTGCTGGCTTTGGTGTTAGCTCTACAAAAATGGCATCATTACGTTCTTGGCTACCATTTTGACATCTATACTGATCATTACAATGTTCAATATTTGATAGATCAACAATTATTGACTCTAGAGCAGCTGTGACTTATAATGAAGTTGTTACCTTTTGATTTCACCATCAAACATAAGATTGGATGTACTAATAGTGGTGCTGATACTCTTTAATGCCGGCCTCAACATGCAAATTTTATGGCTCTAGCAATTCCACATGGCTCAGATTTTGATGATCTAGAGGCATGGATTGATCATGACCCATCCACTCAACACATTAAGAATTTTATTCTTCAAGATCCTACTTCTGTTCATCATTTTACTCTTTTACAAGATTTCTAAATCCTCAAGTTTAAGAAACTAATCTTGAGTTCCTTGAGCTCCCTTCTTAGACCTCTTGGCTTTCATTTCTTGAGCAAGATTTTGACTTCCTAATTCTTCCACTTCAAAGCTATCTTTTCTTTTTTTTATGAACATTCTTACAATAAAAATGTTTAACTCCAAATCCAAGTAGCTAGTCTAAACTTACTTTAGTTAATATGCATCATATGAATATATTTGGTATAAAATAAAAATTGTGTCATGCAAACTTTTTGTTCCATATTTGTCATCATCAAAACTTATTACATAGACCCCTAGATCTAACACAAATCTGTATTTACATTACATAGATACAAACTGAGATAACTTGTCGTTTTATTGAACATAATTCTCACTGTTTCTTGTGTTTAAAGTTTTTGCTTATTTCCACAGCCTTTGGTATGGAGAAGATCGGCCCCATTGGCTTGGTCCTATTCCATATGATTATCCAGAATATCTTACTGGGGAACTTCCTGGGGATTACGGATTTGACATTGCAGGGCTTGGCAAGGATCCTGCAGCTTTGCAGAAATACTTCAAGTACGCCATATTATGAATTTTGTCCATTTAAGCCATTCTTTCTGTGTTAGTGCTGTTCCTTGTCAAGTATGATTTTCTTTTACAATGAGATGGTGGACTTTACATAACAGTTATCATTATTTAGCTTTGTTACAAGATAAATTGTTTTAGATGTAAAATGTATGATGGGCAATAATAAGTCCTGTAGAGACATTCTCCAACCCTAAAGGCAAAGAATATATTCCCTCCGTTCCTTTTCATAAGAGACAAGTGGGAGTGTTTTTTTTTTTTTTCTATATATAAGAAACATAGGACCATTTCGGGTACATTTATTGTATTATTCCCATTATGTCCCTATTAGTTATATGGAATAATTTAGTGACATTAATAAGTCACCATGTCAAACATTTAATATGGGCATTATTGAAAAGAATTTTAATTTGTTAACTTGTTTAAGAAGCTTAACTAATTTTAACTGTATTCCTTGGTTTTGAGAATTCTGTTATTTGTCTTGTAAAAAGGGAACGGAGGGGGTATTGCAAACCGAAGGCCGATCACCAGCTAAATTTTGATGAGGAAGTAATAATGTTTACTATGTTCCAATGTTCAAAAAGGATTTTGTTGAAGATCGTCATACTTTTTCATTAAATAGACGATATAAATGGCTAAAGCATTGTGATGTACTGTGATAGAAAATATAATCTAGATCTGATCAATTAAAAGTTGGTAGACTAAACCAACGACAAGCAGCCATATGCCTATGTCAATTAACTTCTAAGTGAGCTTTACTCCTGATATGTGCGAATGACTATTCTTCATTGCCTTAGTCCGCCAAAAATAGGTAAATAAAAAATAAAAGAAATTTTATGCTAAGCCTTTGTCAATGCAAATAGCCCATGATCAGTTTTATCTCTTTCATCATGGAGCTTCGAGATATTGCATGCTCGTTGGGCTATGCTTGCATCTGTTGGTGTTCTGGTTCCTGAAATATTAGACCTATTTGGGGCCTTTCACTTTGTTGAACCTATCTGGTGGCGTGTTGGCTATTCAAAGCTCAAGGTCAGTATGCCTAATCTCTTTGTCCACTCTTTGTATGTTTGCGAAGTCTTGCTTATAGATTTGGTGTCTGATATCATCCATAAGTTTGTAGAATTGAACCTGTAGTTATTCTCCACCACTTAGTCAGTAGATTCTATTTCTCAAGATCAACCCAAGGGCTAATTATGTCGCTACGAAAATGTGTGCCAAGTACTTGTTGAATTGAACTCATGTGGTGGCTTGTTGACTTTTCAAAGCTCAATTTTAGCATGTCCTATCTTTGTACTTATAATTGGTAAGCTTTATCATCCACAAGTTTATCGAATTAAACTAACAGTTTAATCCAATAACCCTTTCTTTGGATCATTATTTCATGGGCTCAATATATATAATTTTTTTTTTTTTTTTACGTTGTCCTCATCACGTTGTTCTGTTGATTCAAATTGTTTGATTTATTTTCTCAGTGCATGAGAATAAATTACATCACATATTTCATCACCTCTCTTGTTCATCCATACATCCACTGTTTCATTGCATCCTATGTGCACTCCTATGTTAAGTACTTTAGTGAAGATAACTGGGGTGATGTAGTTGTCCTTGTTTACCCAATATTTTTTACTAGGGAGATACTCTAGACTACCTTGGAATCCCGGGACTTCACTTAGCTGGAAGCCAAGGAGTGGTCGTGATTGCTATTTGCCAGGCACTCCTCATGGTTGTTCTTTTATGCTCAGTTCAATTTTCCTGTTTTCTGTGCTCTGTTAACATCACTTGCATCTTACTTCTATATTTGGAATTTCGAGTCTGTCAATTGAGTGAATCCAGAGTCGATGGAACCTTTTCAAAAGCCTTTTTGGTCATTCTCTTGGCCTATAACATGGGTGTCCTCTACAGCAGTGCATTTTTAATCATATTTTCACCATTTTAATGTTTAATTCGACCTCTATCTGGAATTAAAAAATTTAGACTGAAGTCTTTACCATGTCTGCGGGGGCATGAGCAAAATTTTGATAGTTAAACAACATGAACGTGCCTGGTAAACTAACTACATATACTTAAGCAGGTTGGACCTGAATATGCTAGATATTGTGGGATTGAAGCATTGGAACCTCTAGGAATATATCTGCCTGGCGACATAAATTATCCAGGGGGAGGATTGTTTGATCCCTTGAACTTGTCCAAAGATCCTGAAGCTTTCGAGGAGCTGAAGGTTAAAGAAATTAAAAATGGACGCCTAGCAATGATTGCATGGTTAGGATTTTACACTCAAGCAGCTCTGACAGGTAAGGGTCCCGTGCAGAACCTTCTTGATCACATCTCTGATCCTTTCCACAATAATCTTCTGTCCGCGCTCAACTTGGTGAATTTAGTTAAGTGATAGGACGAAAGAGTTTTGCTACAGCTACTACGGGAGCAAAAGTCATGTCTAGATATCATGAGAGGTTGGTCATAGTTTTATTTGTTTTTGTTACTGTATCTTATTAAATGAGATTTGTAGATATTGTTATGATATATTATTTATTGAGATTTATTTTTTTGAGAATATAAAGAATATTTTATATTTACTATATTAGGAAGATATATTTTTGTGTATATATTGTAAGCCTTTCATATAATAAAATACAACACTTTTTCTAGTCCATTTTTTTTAATGACTTCTTTCAGTTTTTAATTCTAACAAAATATTTTAGTCTTAAAACATATAATTAGGGCTATAAGCCGGCCGCCCGAATATTAAAATTTTTTAAAAATATGTTTTATTTATTTTTGAATTAATTTTAATTCTGAATATTCAAAATTTATAAAAATATTTTTATTTAATTTTTTAATTAATTATAATTTTTAAGCAATTCTGTTAAGCATAAAATATTATTTTAATTTTAAAAAAATAAAATAAAAAGTAATAACTTATTAACTTTATATTTAAGTAATTCTTTTACTGTTTTGTTATATTATATGTAATTTATTCATGAATATTTTTTTAACATGTAAATTAATGTCTTAATTATCTAAATATTGTTCTCATTACGGTCATATATAAATATTTTATTTATTTTAATTAAATTATTTTATTTTAATTATGATTAAATTAATTTTAATTTAATTATGGTTAGACTACTAACTTAAAATTATTTTCTTGATTAGTTTAAAATTTTTAATAACTTTTGAGTAACTTGTACTTTTAGCCATCACTATATTATATAAAGTAAAATTATTTAATTATGAGTAAAATATTATTTTTTTAATCATTTTTTCTTTAACTTTTGATATTGTTTAAATCTTACATATATAATGGATTTTTATTATAGTTTATTCTTAATTTTTAATCAAGTTTAGAATGGACGATAGCTAAATAATTATTTAAAAATATTATTTTATTTATTATATTTATCTAGTAGTAGAGTCGTAACTTTGTACATACTCAAATTTTATTTTTAAAATTATTTTAAATTTTATTTTTACTTTAAAAATAATTATCTTATTTTATAAAAAATTATAAAATATATTTTTTTGGATAAGTAAATTATGTACAGGACTCAATTTTTTTTTAAATTGAGTCGTAAAATATAAAAATTAATATTAAAATATATTTAAATATTATTTTTAGATAGTTTATTGATTAAAAATAATAACAATATGAAAATATAAATATTTCTTTACATAATTATTGTAGTGCACTCAAATATATAGTATTTTGATATAAAATGATATAAAATTTAAAAAATTAATTAACATTTATTATATTTTATTTTTTAAAAAAATATTTGGATATTCAGGCTATATTAAATTTTTTTAGAATTGGTCTTAAATTTTTTGAGATGGTTTGAGTTGGCCCATCGGGCTTAATCCAAATTACCAACTCTAATTTTATGTTCAAAAAAATAATTTAAATTTCAAATAAATTAAGTTTCTAAAACACTCTTTCATGATTTTTAGAGGTTAGAACCTTAGTAGATAGATATCCTTAACTGTAAAATTGGTCGCTTAAAAATCCAATGTTCTATAGGTGTAAGAGTTCAATTCAAAATGCTAAACAATTGGATGACAGTTGCACTTATAAAGCAAATATTTTTGTGAGGCTCCTCAATATAAAACTCAAATTATAACAATGTCCATGTCAAAAGATTAGTTTATGGTGGGGCTTCGTGATGTAAAACTCATAACGTGTTGTACCCTACTACTCGCCACTAAGATGTTATAATTCTATAGCATCTTTTAGGCTTGATGTATAATTGGATTAAATGATATTTTTGAATTTAAATTATTATCTCATAAGCATCAAGTATTTTGAATTACTATTAAGTATTCTAAAAGTTTCCCATTTTACCTATCTTTCAATGAACATTCCAAAAAGTTAAACAAAATTCTATTCGAGACGCAATCCAGTATTAATTATAGGTATATCTCAAAAAAACGTTATTTAGTAAAACTATTATGAACTACCACTTGTATATTTTTGACTAAACAAATTGCCTAAATTTCCAAAAAGTAAAGGCACATTGTTACATTTTGAATTGTTTGAGGAGAACGAACACTACTTAATTGCTTAGATACTTTGTGTTCTTGAAAGAAATAGTTTAAAGGAAAATTTTCCTTTAATCCTTAGTAATTATGTGGTTTCTAGTTTTGGTCATTTGTGTCATCTACCAAATCCGATACTAATAGAATGATATGCTATAAATTTTGTGATATGTTATATAAAATGAAGAAAAAATAATAATAAAATCTCTTTGAATTATATAAATAATATTTTGATTTCTTGAAATGTCATAATTTTTCTAAAGTCTTTAGAGATTTTTTTTATCATTAAGGAATTAACATAAAAGATCAAATTGCACTTAATTGAAATAAAAATCCCAAGCCTCAAAATAGATATTATGCACCCTTGATTTACAAGTTTTGTTCTAAGATTCATAACTTTTTTTCCTCAAATTGCAAAAATTCAACAGTGATTCACAAGTTTGCATTTGAAATCTTGATATTTTTTAAGTTTGGCAAATATCAATTGAAACATCTCCTCTACAAATCATAATTAACCAATCAAACTCATGGTATTCAAAAGATTAATTTATTTAGGAGATTACCAAAATTTAGTTTCCAAATCAAGGAATCCTAAGTTTTCATAAGTTGAGTCAAATCTATTCATAAACTCTTAAATTAGAGTAGAATTAAGTTATGAAAAATAGGATACCTCAGAGGAGCGTAAAAAAAAAATTGAACGTAAAATAGGACAATGCCTGCGGCTTGTGCACACCGTGTTGCAATATGTTGCTCTCTATGCCATGCGTTACTGCTCAAATGCCAATGCACTTCAGCATGTTGCACGTTTTATGACAACAGAATCGAGCAACTTTCAACGTGTCTTGATTCTCTGTTTGACATCCGAATGACATGATCCAGGTGTCTACAAAAAGTTCTTTTCATAAACTAGCTAATGATACAAATTTTACTTTCAACATAAGTCACATCAAGAAGTTGGACACCCAAATATATTTTAACAACTTTTAACAACTTCCTCATAATAAAAGGTGTCCAAAACCCATAACAAGTGTCAAAAGCTATTCTTAACACTTAGATCATATTTATTAGACCTAGGACTACTAGTACAACACGTCACACATACTCAAATACAAATTTAACCCAAAATTACTCCTCAACCCCTTTAATACCAAAAACAAAAGGAGGAAGTTAATTTATTGCATTGCGTCAAAAAATGATCATATCATCTTTTAAATAACATTTGTTCACTTGCATTAGGATTTTGTTCCTACCAACATATATATCTTATCATACACAATGACTCAGGGACAAAAATACAAATCCAGATATTTGCAACAACTAAATAATGCAAGCGTGATGATATGCAACCTAGAATTGGTAATAATATTCTATTACACAAAAAAAACACACAAGAGGCATATACAAGGAATGCACAGATTCTTAGGCCTCAGTAGCTTTGTCCCTCTCAACACCAAAGTTAGAGCCTGTAAAATGTTAAATGAAAGGGGTAGGTCTAATCACCTAATAACTAACGTAAAACCTACCCTATGCAGTTATATATCAATTGTAATGAGACACATGTATATGAAACTAAATTCTTAAAACATGCTTGCACACATTTCATAACTTATCATAACTCATTTGCTCATTTTTATCTCAATGCAGGGTACATTGTCACAAGATACTTAGACATGTGACTGTGACCGATATATCAACACAACTTGCCACAACTCAAACATGTGACACGTCATATAATTACATAGGAAATGCTTAACCAATCTTATATTCTTTTTATTTTTTCTAACTGAAACCGTAGGCTATAACACTGCTAGGGCTTTGCTCGTATGACTCGACTACCCAAACTCACCAATTGTGAGGTGTGACTTGGCCAAAGATGACATGATAGATTCTTGAACCACGTCTTTTTCCCTTCTCGAAGCTCTAAGGTATCATATACTCTAAACTAATCTCCTTGATAAACTGGTAGAGATAGCTAGTTCTAGTCCCTTAGTAAACTATGAGACAATCTCTCGACAAACTGTGAGACAAGACCATATCCTTGTGCAATAGAGGATAACTTAAATACCATATGGATTTTTCTCTACTCCCAATCTATAGGCGAACTCCCACCTACTAATCATGCCATATACGATGATCACTTTTATTGACATTCTCATTTACTCATTACAACAATTATCACGTTGAGCTCACGATCGTGCGCTACCCAAGTGACCACTAATACTCATTTTCACATACATTCATTATTTACAAACTCAACACATACATCTTTGTCAGTCTCATCATCAATTACTCATCCAAACCACATCGTAAAGTGAAAATCATTTCACAATCATTTTCACATGTTTAATACACATCAAAGAAATTATGTAAACACAAAGTTTTATTACATGTTACACCATTCACAAGTCACAATTTGCATGTTAAACACATAATTCACCTCATATTACAATTAACATACAACTACAAAGTAGGGTTCCCTTAGTTACCTCAAACCTTTGAGATTTCAAAGGTTTATCCTTCAATATTATAGCTTCCAAGTTTGAATTCCCAAGCTAAATTGGTGATCAAGAGCTCAATCTACAATTATCAATTCTTTAACTCATCAACATTGCCAAACACACACACTACAACTCTCATCTTCCACCTTTAGACTACCCAATGCCCTCTTTGTATAAGTTTAGGTCTATCTATTAGGTTTATTAACTCTCTTTATCATTATATAGCTTCATTAAATACTTACATTGCCATTAATGCCTCAACAAGCATTCTAACCATAAATTTAATGTCCATTTTTAGACATTTACGGACCTCACCATCCAACAACCATTAAAATCATTAATACTAGGTTTAAATACTTTAAACCATTAAAATCATTAATACTAGGTTTAAATACTTTAAACAACTATTATTAACTCCATTTGAGTCAATAGGTTCTGACCCATAACCTATATAGACCAAAAATCATCGTCCTTCTTCAAACCCTAGCTCAAATCTTTGAGAAAGTTGAAGAAAAAGGAAGAAAAGGGTTTAAAAATCTTACCTAAGA